GGCTTTACATTCTCAGTGCTGTGCTTTACCCTGCTGTGCCACCAGGGAGGGCCTGTGAGTTGTTATTTTAATAAGATACACCTCCACAATTCATATACCAAAGTGAAACAAGCTGGCTCCTCTTCCTATTAAGTTTTGGGATACATACTACACTGTATATATTTCAAATACTCAAGGAAATGAAAAACGTTTAATGTCTTGGGGAATTTGGAGAAACAAATGACAGGTTTGGGTACAATTTTTTTAGCAAACGCCTTGAGATTGGGGCAAGTCCTATAACTGCCAAATCTCAGGTTTTTGGTTTGCAAAATGAATATAAAAACATCACCTAGTTTACAAGTTTATTATGGAGATTAAAATAGAATATTTGGGGGGGAAAACCCATAAGCTGTAAATCAGATAAACACAATTTGTCTTCATGGTAATTATTTCCAAAACCATTAAAAATGTCCCTTTTCAGGCCTCCCTGTAATGCAAGAGGTTAAGGCTAAGCTTGATGAAGCCGCTACAGCTCGAGTTCAAACCTGGCTAGGGAGGTGACCCACATATTGGCATATCTCTCCTGACCAGCCTGCTGTTCCCCTCAGCAGTGCATTTCAGTTGCTGCCTGTTCTGCTCCCCACTCTTGTCTCTGGTGAATGCTACCGCACCCCCACACCTCTGATCTGTACCCCAGTTCTGTATGCATAAATAAAATCTTTTTAAAAAAGGTCCCTTTTTTGGGCCCTCCCTGGTTGTGCAGCACTAAGAAGCTAAAGCCACTTCAGCATGAGATTGAACCCCCAGAGGTGACCTGGCGTGGCAGACCTCTCCTTGCTCTGCAGGATGCTCCCCTCAGCTGTGTACTTCATTGATCTGCCTGTTCTGCTCCCCACTCTGTCTCTAGTGAATCCTCTTACTATCCCTGCACCTCTGGCCTGTACCCCATTTCTGTGTGCATAAATAAACAAATCTTGGAAAAAAAAAAGTCCCTCTTCCCATAAGATTACTGAAGAGGATCACAAGAATCCATGCTAAACAGCTGCACACTGCCCAAATGACTAGGCTCACTCCCCTTGCTCCTCAGCAGCTGCAGGATTATGGTTTTGTTTAAGAATACAAGAAATTTCTACCAACTAAGAAAATACATATTGGAGAACAAACTGCCAGCCCCCTACTGCTCAATTCGTTACATTACTACTGAAAAGTATGGCAGACCTTTCCAGGCCTGGGCAAAGGCTAAAAATTAATTCAAAACACAGTGAAAAATCAAATAATTTTAATTACCAGGCATTTTCTTCAATGTCTGAACTACTGTGGGTACAATCACTTCTTTTTTTCCACATTAACCCAGCATAGGTTGTTGAAAATTCATTAAACAGTCTTGTATGTTACTGACATACCTTGCAAGTCATTACTGCTTTTAGAAATCCAAACCGTGTCCTGGCATTCACATTTCCAGGTCTAACAAACACAGGCTGCACCTTCAAGTGAAGGCGTTAGCACGACAAAGAGCATGGCCACATTAGTTACATAGAAAGGGTGAAAGAACAGAGTGACTCTTACACTAAAGGCAGTTTCCTTAAAAATATGAGGCGCAACCATTTCTTCCTACTTTATTTCACAGTGCTCTGCACACGCCTTTTCTGGTCTGGTAACACTGACGAGACTCTGGGAATGACAGGCCTGACAGCAGATCAGCGCTTCCCTCTCCCTGAATCTGTAAGTAACCCAGCCACCCAGTCAGCACCAGCTTCTTACTTACGTGTCCCAAACAGGTTCTCCCCACCCCCCACGCCAGCCCGACTTCGGCCCAAAAGAACCATCTCCCTCGACAACATAAACTTGACCACTCCACTGAAAGGAGAAAAGCAAGCAATGTGGGAAACCTGCCAAAGGCGTGGAGACACGGGGCTCAAGTACGAAGACAGATCGGAAAACGCGCCGGGGGATGCGGTCTCTTTAAATCCTCCCCCCCCACACCCCGCCCCCGCTTCCAGCGGCGGTAAAGGGGACGTACACGTGGCTCCAGGCACTTCGGAACCCTGGCAGGCCAAGAGGGGCAGCCGGGCAGCACCCCCCGTCCCCACGGCCACCCGGCGTTCCAGCCTTAGGTGCTGACGGCGGGGTCTGCCCTCCCGGCGCCTTCTCCACCGCAGAGGCGCGCGCGGAAGGAAGCCGCGTCCTCCCGCTCGCCCGGGCCCCACCGGGACTCTTACTCTTGTTTACGGTCTTGAGAGCGCGCGTGAAGTCGCCGTTCTGGCCATAACGGTTCACTTCACTCCAGAGCGCAGGCACCGAAACCCCCCCGCTGCCGCCGCTCGCCATCTTGGAGGAGACACGGGGCGGGGCTGGGCGACCTCTGCCCCGGAAGGGGATCTCGGAGCTGGTCCAGCGGAGGAAGCCAGCTGCTGGTTGCTAAGCGTTGCGGGGTCGGAAGCGTCGTGTTCCGCGGAAAGCGTCAAAGACCGTAATCTTCCGCTCTCTCTGCGTCGATATGCTGTGCATCTTGCCCCAAGTATGTGTGGAGGAACGAGGCGTTGGATTCCCGCAAAGAGTCGAGAAAAGGCTCACTAGTGCGAAGCCCGGCGACCATCTACGAAAGATAAAAGATCTTTGGGGGCCAGGGGTGAGAGAATCATGGGGTGTTATTTTGAGACGCCAGGGAGGAACGACTTCTTGATGCTAGAGAAAAATTCATACAATAGGTATTTGAAAGGGACCTCGAAGGGTGATTAGGAATACTGGGTTGGTTCTGTTTCCCTCAGAGAACACCTCTAGTCGCAAAGCACGTTTGGTGATAGCCCCCGGTTGCCCTTTGGACCCCGGCTCAGAGGCAGTTCAATTAGGTAAGGATTGTGGGTTTTTGTTTTTTGTGGGGAGAGAATGCCCGGATTCAGGTCGTAGCGCTGCTATTCACTGTCTGCTCGTGAACAATTTGTTAAGAGTTCTAGTTTTCCTAAATATAGGAAAAAATATATATATACCTATATGTAAATATAGGTATGTCATCGTTTTTAAGGGTAATTCACATAATGGCCTAGTTAGTTGTCATGATATGGGGGTGGCGTTTAGATTTTTAAGGCTTTGTCAGAAGGATGAATACCTGAGTAGCAAACTCGATGGGAATGACAGGACCGCTCATTGAAAGGCTACTTTGGACTAGTGTGGGGTCCCACCAACTCCTGCCACTTCTTTCCTTTCTATGCCAGCAACCTAGTTAAATTCTTTCCATTCTTCACTATTTCCATATTTCTGTTTTCAGATAAAATTTCACTTCTTCGACATTGCAGTCCAGGCACTGCTCCTAGTTATGCTCAGAGCACTGGTCGTCATTTTAGTCTTCCCTGTTACATGTTGGTTAATACCATGAGAGCAAGCGCACTGCCTTTCATACTGTTGAACACTGCTGAGAGGAGCGCTGGGTGAGACAGGTGAGGTCTGCTATGCCATGTGGGTCACCTCCTTGGTGGGTATGGAACTCCTGAAGTGGCTGCAGCCAGCTTCAGTGTTGTGCTTTAATCAGTCGCACCACTAGTGAGGGCTGTGTTCAACTTTTTAATTGAATGTCATTTTGCTTATTTCTCTCCCTAATCTTCGAGTTTATTGAGAGTAACTGTTTTAGAGCCTTGTTTGAGGTGTGTCAAGCATACTAGTTGCTAGGGATACAATTAACTAAGAGTACTCATGAAATTTGTTTTCTAGTTGGGAGAGAAGCAAACATACTGAAGAGAATTTCATAAAAGGGATTCATATAGTGAAGTTTTTTTTTTTTTCCTTTTCCCTCATTAGTCATAGTTGTTTACCCTCTTCTTTTTTCCATATTAAACAATATAGTGTTTTAAATGTCAGCTCCAGGAAGACTCCCAAAATTCAGTAAGGGCAGAAATTCAGTTTGTTCATTATTCCATCTCTAGGGTTTTGCAGTTCATTATTCCATCTCTAGGGTTTTGCAAGTGGTACATACTCTGTATTTTTTCCTAATAGCTATAGTCATTTCTGGCTTCTAATAAGCTTCCAACACATCTTGTATTTTATCCATGCTGAGGCAGGCAAAACAAATGAAAATGAAGTTCCAGGAGTGACATACCCATGGAAACCTTTAATTCTCAACCTTACAAAGTAGCATCTTAGTCCTGTTTACACAAGTGAAGTGAAAGACAACTTTAAGATCACATCAACTGAATTACAATACTTTTAATGAGTCCTTGCTTCTTTTATCCAGAAGGTAGCCAGAGAAAACATTAAACTGTAAAATTTTACATGTCATGCCCCCATCCTGCCAAACTTTCTAATGCTTTTCCCAATCCTCAGTGTAGCCTATAAGCCTTAAGTCATCTAGCTTTTGTCTGCGCCAACATCATCTCCTTCCACTCATACACTTGGCTCACTGAGCTCCAGCAATATTGGTATGTTTGTAGACTCTTGAGAAGGCAAAGCTGTTTTACTTTTTGTCCTGACTTTGGAAAGTGAATTTCCCGTATCTTTGCACGGTTTGGTCTTTTACATCATTGTTCTGCTCCCCTCAGAAATCCTCTTATTCCCACTGCTGTCAATTCAACTCCCTGAATTTGTCCAAACCATATCTTTTATGGTTCGTCATCTCCAGTAAAATGTAAGCTTGAAGACAGGGACTTGTCTGTTCAAGCCTTCTTATGGTCTAGAATTAAACAAGGCAACTGACAATGGATGAATGAATAAAGCTTTATACAATTCATCTTTGTCTTTTATTTGGCTGGCAGAGCTTAAAACTTCAATAGATATTAAAGCAACAGCAATTCTAAATACACCTTGATGACGCAAAACTTAAAGTATTGAAGGGTATTACTGAGGATATATATGCCCTACTAAAAAGCCAGTTGTAACAGATAATGACTAGCTCTACTCACTGGTTTAAATCAGCTTTTGAATACTTTCATCTATTGTACAGAAACTCTTGCTAAGTAGAGATAGAAATGAAGGAGGTAGACTATTCGGAAACTACAAAGCCAAAGTTTAAAGATGTTAATAAAATAAAATCCTTTTTTGGGGGGTAAATTTGCATAAAATAGAGAAGCAGTACTTGATTTTTACAATTCTCCTAACTCTTAACAAATAGGTAGGCTTATTAGCGCATTAGCACATACCGCAACATGAGTAAAATAAAGTCTAATATTCTATTTTTGCCTTTCAGGGTTTACAATCCAACAGAGAATTATTTGTAGCCAGTGTAGCTGCTATTGAAATGAAGAACTCAAGGACAGTAACGATAAAGTCCCAGTAAATGAGTTATCAACTAACAACAAATGAGGACGGCAAGTTCCCTTGATCAGTTTAACATGAACAGGATTCAAGGAAACCCTAAAAACCAGTATTTATTATCTGTCGGTAACTTTTGTGTGTGTAGCATTCTTTTTAAAAAGATTTATTTATGCATCTAGAACTGGGGTGCAGGCCAGAGGTGCAGGGGCGGTGAGAGGCTTCACCAGAGACAGACTTAAGACTGACGAAGTACATTGCTTAGGGGAGCAGCGGAGACAGTAGAGATCTGCTGTGCCATGTGGATCACCTCCAGGGGCGGGATCGAACTCGCACTGAAGTGGCTGCGTCCTAACTTGTTGCACCATCAGGGAGGGATTTGATAGCATTATTTTCAAAGTTCATGTTGCAAAAAAGAAAAATTGTCCTTGGACAATCAAATTCACAAATTTGAGAGGTCTTTTAAATCAGGTCATCAATGTAGAACTTGACCTCCACTTGAATATTCTGTGCAAAGGATATAAATAGAGAAAAAGCTAAAGTATGAAATCAAGCAACTGATTCTGGACAGTTAAATATGGTGAGAAACATATGCTTCCTAAAAAATATTAAGTTAGAAACATTCAGATGGAAATGGACAGTTCATAGTAGAAAAGGACCCAAGGGTAATGCTTATTACAGCTGAAAAGATTAAGGTCATCTAACTAGTACTTGGTAACATTGGAGACACCAGTAGGTGACATCAATTCTTGGAGGGAAAGAGTAATAAAAAGAAATGATCAGTTTTGAGATAGAAGTATCTTAGTCTACCTCAAAAAGGGGATGGCTAGGTCAATCACATACTAGAGAGGCGAGTGTGATGAATGATATGATGCCAGTTTAACACTGAGAAGAAATACAATGTAGGCCAATGGCAAAGGTCTTACCAAAATTTCATCTGTGGCAGGTTATTAACATTTTGGGAAGCACACAGATCCTTTTGATAAATACTATGATTATACATCACAAAAGTGAACATCATCAAGTTGTACATACAAGTTTAAGGGGTTCTGCAATACTAAGATTGAAGTGTAGTGATCTACAAAAACCTCAATGCAAAATCTAACAGTGATTTCCAAATAAGGTTTAAAGACCAATGATGAACTATAATACCTCTTAGTTACAACTGCGCCTTTAAAAGTGGCTCTTGCTGGATACACTGCCAGACATACAATTTCACAAGAAAGTAGCATTACACATCAACTGGGAGATGCTAATTTCTGAAAATGATGGCAGCCTGGGAAAGTGACTATAATGTATTATTTAAAAAATGCTGTAATCCACAAAGGTACTCACTATTCAAGAAAGACTAAGTCTTTCTTTTCCATGGCTTCAATAGTGCTCCTTGATCTTATTTCCTGTGTCTTCCCTATCCCCAGCACCAATCTCAACTTTCCCTTAAAAAAGCAAAATCAAAACCATCTCTATAGTTAGAGATCCTATGTATCATATATCTGAAATAACTACAAAAAAACTGTTGTTAGAAAGGTACTAACTAAAAATGACTACATAATCTATAAAGGATATTAATTTCAAAATGTCCTTGTAATTTTACTACTTAAGAAAATTAATAAACACTACATATGCTCTATTCATCCATGAAGCTAGAGAAATATTTATTTACAGCAAATTGTTTTTTCTTATTTAAAACTATCTTTTCGGGGACCTCCCTGGTGGCGCAGTGGCTTAAAGCACTGCACTAAGCTTAAGCCACTTCTGCATGAGTTTGATCCCCACCTGCCACGAAGGCGATTCACCTGGTGTGACAGACCTCTCCTGATCCGCCCGCTGCTCTCCTCAGTAGTGTACTTTGTTGATCTGCCTGTTTTGTTCCCCACTCTGTCCCTGGTGAATCCTCTCACCCTCCTCATCTCTGGCCTGTACCCCAGTTCTGTATGAATAAATCTTAAAAAAAAAAAAAACAAAAACAAAAAAACCTGTCTGTTCATCCTGAAGTTTACAAGGAATTCTCCTAAAAATACAATGATTCTCATGTATTGCTCTCCCTGATTTTCTTGTCATCCTGCTTCAAAGAAATCCATGTGTTCAATATATGTGCTCGCAGTTTGGCCCATATCAAATGGTTGTTCAACCCAAATATCTGAGCAGCAAACTGAGCCGATCCTTCTGGAGACAGTATGGTTGAACAGCCAAGACCTATTGGTTTAGAAAGAAAAAGAGAAAATCGAGTTGTTAATAATGAAAATACCACTAAGCAAACTTTGCTGAGTTAAGCTCTAATAGCAAGAGAGTGAAAAATTAACAGATCTATAGAAGGAAGAGGATGAGCAAGGTTTATCTGTCACAAACAATAATTTTACATAAACAATAATTTTATATACATCATCTATCATTTTTCTTATTGCAAAACATTTACCTATTTCAAAGTTCTTTTCACATATCCCATTCCTTAAGATCCCTGGTGAAAGGTAGTAGAAGTAAAATGAGCCAGTGAGTAGGTAAGTGGTTAGAAGTCACTTGTTTTAGATAAACTTGAGGCATGCTATTTGTTTTGTTATTTTCTAGCTACTCTTTTGTTGTTGTACTTTTTATTAGAAGCATCAAATCCAAAGAATTTTAAGAAATTTCAAGTCATAAATAAATTCAGTAGTAACAGGATCTAAAAATAAAAAGACAGATGCACTGTTTCTGGGCTACGCTTGCTTAGACAGTTACTCCAAGTGATACTACTATGTCACAAAAGTCAAGGACTAGCTAGCCATTAGATCTGAAAACTCCATTTTCCAATATCCTTAGAATTCTTTAGGCTTTGGACCCTTACTATCCTGAATGAGAATCAAATAAGTAAAATCAAAAGTTCAATATACTAATTTGCTTTTTATATAGTCTATTATCATTAGCCAAAAATTAGGTTGAACATATAACTTAAAGAGATATGGGAGTGTTCAGTAAAACTGTTTTTCAGGGTCTTCCCTAGTGGCACAGTGTATTAATGTGCAGCACTGTGAAGCTATCTGCAGTGACTGCAAAATGAGTTTGATCCCAGGGAGGTGACTCACATGGCCTGACAGATCTCTACTGAGATCTTCTGCCTGCTGCTCCCATCAGCAGTGTTATTTCAGTAGATTTGTTCTGCTCCCCACTCTGTCTCTGGTGAATCTTCTCACCCTCCATAATACCTCTGGCCTGTACCTCTCTTCTTGTATGCATAAATAATATATATATATATATTTTACAAAGTGCAAATTCATAGCTCACTTAAAAAAAGTTGAAAGGTGGTGATGGCACATGGGTGACTCGGTGATGAGAAATCCACGGGGATTACAATTGAGATGAAAAAAAAAATGTACATAATGATGTAAAAAATAAACGTATATATATAAAAAAAGTTGAAAGATGTTGATATGAGGAGTTACTCAAAGAAAAACCCTACTAGATTACCCTAGAGACTGCTTTCAACAATGCTCCACCAATTTGTGCAGTTTCCAACTAGTTCTTTCATTGTCCCATTCGTGGTATAAGCCAACAGCGAAGCATTACTGACAGTTAACAGTGGTACGAATGTGACAGAAATTATGATAATTTCTGAGAAACAAAAGATACTATATTACAGGGCTCTCCCTGGTGGCACATGTTAAAGTAACGCATTATGAAGCTCTCGAAAGCCACTGCAGCACTATTTTGATCCCCTGCCAGGGAGCTAACCCACAAGGTGTGGCAGACCTCTCCTGAACCACTCGCTGCTCCCCTCAGCAGTGCACTTCAGTATCTGCCTGTTTTGCTCCCCACTGTCTCCGGTGAATCCTCTCACCCACCACACCTCTCATGTTCACCCCAGTTCTGTAAGCATAAATAAATCTAAAAAAAAAAGAAGATGCTACACCAAAAATTAAACAAGAATGAATCACAGGTGTGGGGCGGGGGGGGGGAATTAACCAGGAAACAAAAAGAACCCTCAGAAAGTAAAAATACTGTATCTAAAATGAAAAAAGCAAAAGAAGGGCTAGCATGTGAAGATGGGGAAATAGTCTGTAAGAAGAACAAAAGAAAATAGAGTAGAAATCAAGAAGATCCAAATTTGAATAAATGAAGAGAGAAAAGTACAAAAAAAGAATGGAGGGAAATCAAGTAATTTAAGAAAATTTCTCACAACTAAAGAATTTGGAACTTCAGATTCAAAGAGCCCACAGGGGCTCTAACTCAATGAGACAAAACTTTGTAACACTTAGCAAAAATGAATAGAGGAAAAACCTTATTTCCATAAGAAAATAAATTGCATAAGTGATTCAGAATCAGAATAGGGGAAAGGCACTGGAGTTCTAAATAGCTGGGAGCTAAAATACAACAAATATCCTCAAAATTCTGATAGAAAGTAATTTCAACCTAAAGTTCTCTTCCTAAATTATCAAGTATGTGGCTCTAAAAAATATTTTAGATACACAAGGTTTCAAAAAGCTTATCCTCTGTACTTTTTCTTAGAAGTTCACTACCAATGCTAACAAAATAAAGTGAAGGGAAATACATGGGATATAGGAAACAAGATATTCAAGTCTAGAGAAGGTAATACAAATGTCAAGGCTGATAATAAAATAAGAAATCCTAAGAAAAAAGCAGCGCAGGACAGCTAGAAAAAAAGCAATTCATATAGGAAGTCAGAGAGCTGAAGTACTTAAAGAACTCCTAACACCTTACAAGCAGTTAATACATAACTATGGTCAAACTGGGACTGAACAGGTAAGCAAGTCAAATCTGACTGATCAAATCTGTCAGGACTTACAGAACAGATCCTATCTTGATGGCCCTATCACAAATATATTTGAGATTCCGCAGTCATTTGGTAAATGTTCATGGTAGTTACTTATTGTGACCCCTATTTTTTGAAAACACAAAAATTTTCTTACAGAAATAACTATCACATTTATTGAATATACTATATAAGTGTACCTGTCTAAGTTGCTATTCAAGTTTTTCTACTTGTCTTATTTAATAGTTGGTTCAGTCTTTACACTGCATTTAGTGCCAAGAATGATATATTCTTGGAGGAAAAAAATACATCTGTACTTGTACTAAGATGAAATCTCACCCATTATAGAAAATGTAGGGGAAGGTGAAACAAAATCCAAGAATGTAATAAAGTAATCCAAAATGTGGAAAATTTCATAGGTGAAATGAAAAGTGAAGGGATTAAAAGACACTTAAGAACTGTATCAACTAAATAGTGTAAAGGTCGAACCAACTCTTAAAATTAGAAAAACAATTTGAACACTAACTCAGAAAGGCATATTTAAACAGTGTATGATATATCAGTAATTCTGTTTTGAAATAAACAGAAGAGGACTAGAGATGAGTAAGATATTAACTGCTGAAGCTAAATAATGTGTATATGAAATTTCATGTCATTTTACTACCATGCCATGTTTGAAATGTAAACATTTCACAAAAATTCATCATCTCTTACCGCTGGGTAGTCGAAGAGAAGACCACACATCTTGACTTCCCCATTCTGGAGTGACGGGAGGACAGCTAATAACTGGATATGCAGTGTTACCCGACATCACTGGCCCTAAACCATTGCTTCTGCCTGCCACAGCCACAAATACAGTAGGAATGCCATCCCCTGTGGAAATTACAAGTTTATAATTATGCTAAACATTCAAGAAATCTAAAGATAAGAGTTGTTTCTTTAAGAAAGGACTGGTATGCTTAATTTACTGAGTTTATTAGTTATCTCTAGATAATGTATAAATAAGACACTATTAGTACATAAATATTCAAAATTTAAGGTTCACCATGCCACTTATTGTAGGTCAAGTAATGAAGCAGTGCTGTGACAGAAACTTTATTCCCACTTTGCAACAGGAACACGATGAATGACACAGCAGTGATGGACCAAGTTTCCAAGGTAAGACTCTGCTACTTGTCAGAAGTTGTGCTATTTACTGAAAGCATACAGGATAGTAAAAGCTGATCATGTGACCAGAGGATGGAATAAAATCCAGAGGGTAGGAATGGAATGGCGGGAGAGTCAAAGTTTTACAAGGAACCAAGAAGGGGACACAGTGACCATACCTAGAGACATTTGCATCAGCAAAGCATCTGATGTTATCACAGGCAGAACTGTCCTGAGACCACCATGGAGATAGTCATGTAATCAGGCTATGTCAACTATGGCCTAGGCCTTTCAGGCCTGCCTCATGATATGCTATACTCTGTAGGTAGTCAAGTGATGTGCCACCGTAATTTGTAGACAGCAAACAGGTCACCATTGCCTAACGAGTGGCCAGTTAGTAGCCAGCTCTTAGGAATCCACTAAGTAGCACAGATTTCGCCAGCTTCAAGATCAATAGTATATAAAAGGGGTACTGAGGTGTTAACTGAGTGGCTCAAAGGCCCCTTCTATATCTGCTGTTTAGGCTCACCAAAACACAGGATGGAAAACACTTGTCCTCCTGTCTTTAAATCAGCAGGTACAGGAAACCCAGTTAGTAGGTTTAGGATCGTTTCTTGAAATAAGAGTTGAAAGCAAATTCAACAGTATGTGCTCAAATGTTTAAGTTCTTGCAATATATTTTCCAATGGACTTCTTAAACATTTCATTCCTTCATAAACTTAACTATTTCTTGGTTTACTCTAGCAGACAGGTTCCTAATATGGAATCTAGAAATTTACCTTTTCCACCCTGGAAAAGGACTTCTGGCCTTTATTAGTTTAGTAAAGTGCTGAGACTTCCCTCCCATTGAAAACTGTTCCTTAATCAATTACCTTTAGAATAACACTGAATCAACATTTTTCCAGATAAGAAAATTTGTCATGTTTCTAGGACTTCATTTTTTATAATTAACATTCTCTCCTTTTTTAACACACTGAATTCTGATGTATTTCTTTTCATGTTTAAATGTCTCCCAGGAGAGGCTGAGCATTACAGACACCTAATCAGATCTGCTGCTTCAACCTTAGGTCTCCCATAATTGATCCAGGTCTGTTTTCTTAAATAAGTAGATGCATAACAATGCTCGAGGGCCTTATTATTAGGTCAAGACTCCCTGATTTATTCTTTTATATGCTGTCAGAACACACTTTCAAATCTCTGGAGATGAAATTCTACTATGTTGCTTTTTTTCTCCTTGCAAATGTGGTAAAAGTTCTTTTCAACACCATTCATCTAAGCACACAATTTTTTGGCGGCATCAGGACAACTCCTTAAATACCTTCATACTCAGCTTTAATCCTGAGAGTTTCATCTGGTCCTTTATGGGCAGATGTTACCCGAAGTTCACATGGAATGCCAAAATTTCCACAGGCCTTCTTAATTTTTTCACAGTGACCAAGATCAGACATTGAGCCCATCAATACTACAACCCTGCACTGTTTTTCTGCTTTCAGAAGCAGCTGAAAAAGAAAAAACATGGATATGCAAAAGGACAAAAAAATGGATAAATATAGGCATGAGCACCCCAGGAAAAAGTTAAGTCTACACAGCTGTGTTTTATAGTATAATAACATCAGAGCAGAATATTTCCTTTCCTCACAGATAAATTTCAGATAGAGATGACAAATTCAGATTATTTCCCAAAACAACCTCTCTATATAAATAAGTTTTCATAATTCACACTTAGAGTAATATTTTAAACTAAATTGTTTCCTATTATAAAAAGGATATTCAGATATTCTAATAGTCAAGAAAAAGTATTTCGTCTTAAGTACATTCTGTTTAGTGGTAGTTTTAAGGCATATTCAGTCAATATATAGAAACCACATCATAAATCTTTGTTATTAATTGCTTGGAATTCATAATACATGATCCAATGGAAATAATGTCCTGAAGCCCACACAAAAGGCAGGGAGTCTTATCAGGGGCAATGAGGAGACAAGGGCTCCAATTTCCCTAACAGGATGTGGGAGGAGTGTACTAGTGAGTGTAACAGCGAAGAGTTCTAATATGCAGTGAGAACCATTCAAGATTTCTCTTTTTTTTTCCTCCTTTTTTTTACACTATTCTTCATTTTGTGCATCTTTGGATCTCAGTTGTAATCCCCATGGGCCTCCCATCACCAATTCACCCGTGTCCCATCACCACAGTCCAGCGCACGCTTCCCACCCCAGTTCCAACCTCATTCCCCCCTCCCACCCCCATAAAATTTCTCTGGTTTATAGTTGTTCATTGTTTTCATTTTTACTCTATTATATTTGTTAGTCTCTCTTTTTTTTCTTCCCTGATCCTTTATGTTCCTGCTATGAGTGAAAACATGTGGTATTTTTGTTTCCCTTTCTGGGCTATTTCACTAAGCATGATCGCTTCCAGGTTCACCCCATGTTGCTGCAAAAGGCACAAGTTTATCTTTTCTGATTCCTGAGTAATATTCCACTGTGTATATGTACCACATCTTTTTTCCAGTCATCTATTTTTGGGCATTTGGGTTGATTCCACATTTTCCCTATTGTAAATAGAGCAGCAATAAACATGGGGGTGCAGGTGTCCTTTTGAATCAGTGTTTTTGTGTCCTTTGGGTATATACCTAGGAGAGGGGTGCTGGGTCATATGGATGCTCTATTTAGCCGTTTGAGAAACCTCCAAACAGATTTCCATAGTGGTTTTATCAGTTTGCATTCCCACAACTGCGAATGCACCTTCTCACATTTTCCCCCATGATTTCCCCATATTTTGGACTTGATTTTCTTAGAGAAAAATATAATACAGCATGAATTTAATACAAAAAAGTTTACCTCTACTCTTTCTGCAACCCATTCAAAGTTTCTCTTTACCATCTGGAGCCCTTCAGGAGTTACTTCCTTGAGGTCACGATATGACTAGAAGATAAATAAAATTTTAAATAAAAGTTTAGAATACAAATATTTTACCAGCAATTTTCCTGATATCTAAAATTATCTGGTTTCTGAGTTTTTGGTATAGATTGTTAAGTGTGCATTGCAGGGGACAAACCTGAAAAGTTTGAGCCGACAAATTTTTCCCCCTTTTTTGACATAACATTGACTCTTAATGCTGCATATTCAGAGGTGTAGGACTATACCTCTTCAGATGCAAAAGACCATGACACCTATGGAAGTGTCTACGGCAACAGTCCCCTGGGTTCCCTCCCACTCTGGTAGTCTTTATAAATTCATTTCTTACAAATGTGAAGATAATCTATTATTTCTCTGTTCAGGATATATGAAATATGAGATTTTTATCTAACAATAAAAGCAATCAACAACTCATTTCATACCGTAGGAAAAATCATTGCTTTCCTTCCCCATCATCTCTTTCTCTTCTATCACATCCCCACTTTCTGAAATATTAAAAAAATAAAATCCCTAAGCATTATCTACCTGCTTGTCTTTCTGCTGGCTTCGATCTCCTGATGGCCAGAGTCTCCAGGAATCATTATCAATGACATCAGCAAGAATAATTTCTTTGGTAGTGACATCAACACCAAATTCGATCTAGAAACAGGTTATCATCCAAGAAAAGTTATTTGAAACTACATTACTTAAGACATTGTTATAATATTTGTTTTCAATCTCCTTTTTATTTTACCTTCATATCAACCAGTGTACAGTTCTGGGGTAACCAGGACCTCTCCAATATTTCAAAAATAGCCTGCGTAGCATGGCTCATGATGTCCACCTCAGTTTGGCCTATTTCAAGTCCAGCAAAGCAAAATTTTGCAGCAATTAGCTGTTCTTCAGACCACTGTGGATCATTATTTGCATCATCCTTAGAATAAAGCATAGGCATGTATAATTAATTTAAAGCTAAAATTTTTCAGATAAAAGTCCTTTTCTTCTGAGCATTCTTTAGAAATACTCATTTTCTCCAAAAATTTATTATTTATTTAAAGAATTTTCAACTCATAGCAATTATTTTTCATTTGGCTGATTTAAAAATATTCAAGTTGGGCCAATTTGTTCACTTTTAAATTACCTAGGGGCCCTCCCTGGTGGTGCAGCAGGTTAAAGTACAAGCACTAAGAGGCTAAAGCCAGTTCAGCATGAGTTCAATCCCTGCCCCAGAGGTGGCCCTATGGTGCAATAGACCTCTCCTCACCCACCCACTGCTGCCCTCAGCAGTGTACTTCATTAGTCGCCTGTTCTGCTCCCCACTCTGTCTCTGGTGAATCCTCTCACTGCTCCTGTACCTCTGGCCTATACCCCAGCTCTGTATGCATAAAAAACTAAAACTTTAAAATAAATAATTATAAATTGGTTGCCATGCTAATACAACTATAAATTTTAAAAATATGACACATAAGCATAAATTACCTTGAAAAACAATTCCACTTTAGGAGGGTAAAATTTGTATCCTTCCTTGACACCAGGATTTCTTTTGAGAAAAGAACCAGTTGCTATTCTTCTACAAACCCATTCTATTGGAATCATTTCACACTTAGGTGCAACAAAAGCTGTCTCCCTGTATTTTTTGATAAAAGCAGTTTTGATACCTATAAAAGAAAAAAAACTCAGCTGCATTTAAAAAGGTATGAGACATAAAACTCTACCTATATTTAAAAAAACCACAACAACCATATCTATCCAGTGCATTATCGTCAAATGCACTACAAAAATAAATGTAATTTAAAAAGACTGAACCAGGCAAACAAAACTATTAATATGGCTTTCTACTGTATATCATATTAAGGAATATTTCATTTAATGTCCCATGGCAGAGTAATTACTGAGTTAGAATAGCTGGACCCAGTGTTTTTACCATTCACTCATTCCAGTCTTTTATTTTAGATAGCCCTTTTCTCTAAGTGTTTGAAGCCAGTAATCTTTAAAAAAGGGCATGTAATTAGGGAACAGCAGGAACCTAGGCCAATCTAGGCAGAAGCAAAAAAACAAAACAAAACAAAAAACAAAACATTGTCCTATTGTCCTTCCTCTCCTGTTCACATTGTTACTAGAAAACTAAGATAAAGAGTTGACATTATGTTTGAAATGGAAGCTATTTTATGTGGTGGCCTTAGAAAACAACAGTTACAAGTATTTTGAACCACATAATTAGGCAATCTGTTTTTAGGGACATATTCAAAAGAATTAAAAGCAATGTTCATATAGCATTTTTGGTAAAAGCCAAAACATCAAGAAGTGGACACACAAAATGTTGCCTATGTATATACAATTATTTACTACTAAAAGGAAATGAAATTCTGATACACCTATATTTATGGAATAACCCTGCACTATGCCAGTTGTTTTATGTGTTATTTCATTTAACTATGTGTAATATTTTTGAGGTAGGAGTTATTTACATTTTAGTTAAAAAAAAAAAAAAAAAGAGGCTCAAAGTTAAATAATTTCACCAATTATGTCATACTGCTAATAATAATGGTTTCAAGACTGGAAACCCACCATTCAATTCCCAAACTTTTACTGTTTTCTCTATACTCCCACTGGGTTTGACCAGTAAGATCATATTGAAACAGGAAAAAGATATTGTAAATTGTGGCAGGCCATATGAACAGAATTTCTAGGAAAGAATTTATGTAAGTAAAATAATCATTTTAATCTTCAGTGGACGAATGGCCTCACGGATAAGCAGGAGATTCAAGTTAATCCTTAATTTAGATGTTACCTCTGATTTTAGGAGCTATTCTATTGCTCATTCGTCTACCACACTTACTGACTAGTATCTAAATCTACTGTTTAGATATATACTTCCCTTACTTAGAAGATAATCCACCCTCATATCTAAGGGAATCAGAAGCATAAAATCAACTAAGAGCAATGACCTTAAGAAAAATAAACTGCCTCTAAAAAGATTCAGTTCAGATATGATTGGGTCCAACAGACATGCTAATCATGAAAGCATTTGGTGACTGCATACAGTAGAACTACCATTTGTCTTAGTCATACCCCAAATTCAAAACTCTACTACTCAAAATACTAGCAAAATGTAGATGCCACTTGGATACTTTGAATTAGGGTGACTGTGTGTGATAATCAGCCCCCTAGCCACTGGGCCATTTAGGGGTACCCAGCTTCCCCATGTTTACCAGCACTAATATCACACTTAAATGTAACTACAATGCACTTATGACAGAGAATTAAGATACGCAAGGTTAAAATTTGATTTTAAAATATTGAGACCACCAAAACTATGAATGTCATAAACTTGGGCACAGCATATATAGTACTATTTCTGTGAAAAACCAAGATTGCCTATTTGTATTATGTATTCAGTGTTTTATAGATTGCTCAGAATCCTGACTTACTGATTTTTATTCTGGTGTTCTTCCCTTCTAGTTTTCTCATTGTCATTCATGAGCAATCTATAAAACACTGAATAAATAGGCAATCTTGGTTTTTCACATGAAAAGAACCATTATATATGTGTGTGAAAGAGAATGTGTAAGAAGATAGGTGGAGAGCCACTTACCTGCTTCTTTTAATAGTTGAAAAACACAACTGGTAGTTTTATTTGAGAATGCAGCTTTTCCTTCCAGGTGATTCTTTCTGGCTGCATTTCCTGCTGTAATTTGGTCCTTGGATTGCAGAAGAACCTTTCCTGGGCTTTCCAATAATTCATAGACTTCCTTTGTCTTACCCTCATATAGTTTTTTACCAATATTCAGTTCTGCGGAAATAAAACAGAAACAGCAGATTTCAGGATAAAGAAATTTCCTGAATACCAAAGACTAAAATCATGTATGATGATAATGTCCACAATCAATGAACATATAGATCAAGTAAAAACTCATCTATATAGAACTTTATAGACTACTAAGTATTTTCTCATACATCATCACAATCCATAGATTGGGGAAGAATTATAATATGTATATAATCATATAGAGATTAAGAACCATGTATCAAAAAGGTGATCATGGAGTGAAAAAATGGAGGAGCCAAAGTCCTGAGTATTTTGCTATCATTTCTATGCTTCATAATGTACTCAGTTTAACACAATTGGTTTGTACTATACACAAGGCAGAACAACAGAGTAACTCAATAAACTTGCATGAGAAAAAAGTGCAGTTTTTCCTGAACTCTAACAGGCAAAATGAGAAAGTTCAACCACACTGGTTTCTTGATTTCAAGCAGGTGATTTACACCATCTCTACCCACTTAAGTTAGCCCCTTTGGAAGCACCTCTCTTTATTTCTTAAGCCTGCTTCCTATTCCTCCACCTACACTAACAGTGGTAGGAAACGGGGAGAAGGACAACAGAATCCAATCTTGATACAGGTCATTAAGACCTAAAGAAAAGTACACTCTACTCATTGAATGATTTTGACTAAGATCAGCAGTAATAGAAGTCTAAAGACTTAAAATATCCAAGGGTAGAAATCACCCTTCATGTTCTCAGAACGATTGATTCTCAATATGAGAATTTTTAAAGTACTCATCTACCAGGAAATGTGACCTGGTGCCAGTTCTCAGGTATGAAAGGAACAGAATTTAAATAAGATATCACAATAATTGTGAGAAACACAGTACAGAATCACAGGTTCACAGTAGGAACACATAATCCAGTTTTGACATCAGAAAGGTAAGTCTTGAACTAAGTAGTCTGAGATGTGACGTATGACCAAAATTTAGCCAGAAGATGAAAACAGGTAGGCAGTAGCAGTGAATAAAGACCACAGGATGAAAAAGTATATGGCAGAAGAGCTAAGCATGGGTCAAATCAACAACCAATGAAGGTAACCACAGCTGCTGCAGCAGGACATTAAATTGACAGTGAATCCCCATCCTCCTAGTGGAAAATCTTGACTTGCAGACAAAGTTTAAATGTTCTATCAAGACAGAGTTGCAGCTTAGTGCTTAGAATGCAGATTTCTCAATTTGTCACTATGAATCTGACTTCTATAACTGAACTTCTGTATCAAACCCTTCTCAAGCTTTTGTCATGTTCTTCACTAGGCTTGGAACCCTGTTCCCTTCCCTTCCAATGTATTCCTCATCCTTCAGGCCTCATAAACCCTGTCAATTGAACTTAACACTTTATCCTAAGAGCAATTATTTGGCTTTTAAATATTTTTTAGTAAAATGATAATTTCTATAGGAGATCATTCTGGCTGCTGTGTAGAGAATAAAATGAGGCTAAGAGACAAATTAGGATGCTATTGCAGTAATCCAAGCCAAAAAATAAATAATAAGGAATAAGTATTAAAAGGCAAAAATGTTATTAAGAAATGAATATGGGAATTAAGACAGTGAGAACAGTCAAATATTCCGTAGGTTAGATAAACCTTTAAAAATGTTTAAAGTGTTAAAAAAAAAATCCCAGGTGTAGTAAAGCCTACTTTACCAATATCTATCTACTACCTACTTTACAATTTATATCTACTACCTCTCCCTCCCAATTTAGCTGAATCAGTATTTCCTACGTGGTAGGTAAATCTGACAGGACTTAACAGGTGGTAGTAACATTAAGAACCAACTAATTTAGACAACTGCTGCCTAGCTCATACCCAGTATGTATGAGCTGATTATGACTAGTTTTGGGAGAAGTTTATACTAAGCTGACAACAAGGAGAAAGAAGTCAAATCTTATCGGGAAAGGGGGTTTACATTATATTGGGGGAGTGAGTGAGCTTTTATTGTCTAAGGAGCTGGTTAAGAACAACGAAATGTGGACTTACTGAAGTTCACTGGCTAGTTAAGCCTATTACAAATCCATACGTTTTGAAGAGACTGATGCGAACTGAGAAGAGGAACTGAAATATAAGTTTTAAAAGCGTAGAACTTTAGATACTGGATAAGACCATTTTAGGATTGTGTTGTCTATTGCCACTGGCAACTCTTGAAATTGAGATATGAGTTACATGTGTGCTCAATAAACACTTTAGATTCCGGTATTTAAAATGATGCAATTCATAATTCTTATACCAATTACATGATAAAATTGGTCTTTTGGCATATCCTACATTAAAAGTGTTAAAATATGATTCACCTATTTCTTGTTAATCTTTAAAAAATATGGCTGCAAGAAGTTATGTTTCAGTGCAATTCAGTATGAAAAAGGTTGCCTGACTGTGGGTTCTTACCTGTGCTCTTAAGGGACTTCTAAGACTGGGCTGCAGGCACACACAAAAGTTAATAAAGAATCCATTTACGGGCCCTTCCTGGTGGCACAGGGGGTTGAAGTGCAACACTAAGAAGCTAAAGCCACTTCAGCATGAGCTCAACCCCTACCCAGGTGATCCACATGGTGCAGCAGACCTCTCCTGACCCGCTCATCTACTGACCCGCCGGCTGCTCCCCACTTTCTCCATCTGCCTGTTCTGCTCTTCACTGTCTCTAGTGAATCCTCTGACCTATACCCCAGTTCTGTGTTGCATAAATAAATAAATTTTAAAAAGAGTCCATTTACAAAAGAAGGGGAAATGAATAACTCAAGGAAAAAGAGGGCTGATAAATCGGTTAATGAGTCCTACCAGTTCCCTTGACCTGGAATCTCAATAGCATGCTAAGAGCCTCAGAAAGTTAAGAGGCCAAGAGACCCCCCCAAAGCCCACTTGTGTGGTTTCACACCAAATCTGGCTGCTTAACTCCACCCTCAGGTCCCAGCAATTTTCCCTTTGGTGATGATGGGATTTGTAGTTTCTGGTTTCTTAATGTCTTTGGTCCGGAGTGGGAGTGGAATCCACAAAACCCCTGTCTTCAGAGTTAAAGACATCTTTCTCCTGTAACAATTACATAGTTTCACATTGTATTTCCATTAGGCAGCATTACTTAGAAGAAACAGTATAAACAAGCACACAGAGAGAAACCTTGGCAAATTAACCTGACTTTTACTTACTTACCAATTACCTTAAAAAAAAAAAAAAGTTCTGATTTAAGAGGTAGCATAAAAATGCAGAATGTGCAGGACAGTGCCTTCAGGGCATATTTTATCAGCTCCAAGGTTGCCATTGAGGATCTAGCAAGGAAGTATTAGCTAGAAACATTTTAGGCAGGTTAACCTGCCGAGAAACAGTAAATTAAACTAAGTAGAATAGTAAAGATTTTGGAGACTATAGCTTCAGTGGAATGATGAAAAATTCTGGTCTGTTGGGTCCCAGCCTGGATGAGCCTCCCCAACCACCCCAGGAGCTTAAGTACAGAAAAACATCCTGTTTTGTCACAGATCCTAACAGGGAGAAAAACATCCTGTTTTGCCTGCTACCTGTGTGTGTCGTTCAACCTGTGAGCGGTTGATCATTATCTGCCCTGGTATCAGTGAGGCATGTGAGGGAGACTTCCTTTGGCCCCTAGGCCAACACCCTGGTACTAAGGGTAGAAAAGGGAGGCTGGAGAGAAAAATAAAGGGACATTTTGCTGCAACCATCTATGTGAGCTGCTTCTTCAACCTCCACGTCCCCTGCTCAGACTCGTATCCCTGCCATGCGGGCACGGCACTGGTTTGATTCCTAGATTTTATATAGTTGTTATCCCTTGTTATCTGGATCTGTTAACCTCCAGTCTTTTTAAATCTAAATTCAATTTTCCTGCGTGGAAGAGGATGTTCTTACCCAGCCAACACAAGTAATTTGGCTCACCATATCTGTGAGGATTGGATTCCTCCTGTATAAAATATTAATTTAAAATTAATAAATAATATAAACGTATATAACAAATGCAAACCTAGCCTGGAGCCCTACAAGCCCATTTAATACACACACATCTGGACAGCAATCATGTTTTTACTTGAAAATTCAATTATTAATTAACTCTGTTCTGTAGAGGGAGTATTTACCTAATGCGAAGAGTCAACAGCGGGTGCTTATAAGCTTGCTTTTGCAATACCTATTGCCAAATGCGATTCTCAAGTCCCTCACTCAGCCCCGGTCCCAGATCGTCTTAATCGCCCGCCGCCACAGCCTAGTGTTTTCTCCCCACCCCGGGGGCAGAGCTGGATGTTTGAGAAAGTTGGCGAGGAGGCCCGGGTGAGCGTAGCCGCTTCCGGCCTCCACGCGCCAAGGCCACGTGTCCCGCGCAGGGCCTAGCAGCGGGGTCCCGGGAGGCCAGGCCGCCGGGGGAGGGCGAGAACACATCCACGCCAAATCCACGCGTGCCAAGCGCTGGGGGGCGGCGGGCTGGAAGGCGGTAGAGCGCGGGGAGTCCCGGACCGAGGCCCCTGAAACGCCAGCTACTCACCGTCGGAGGTAGCCATGATGCAGAGACTGCCGGGAGACAAGGCTGCGCTCCGCCGCGAGGCCGAACTCTGCAAAAGAAACGGGGTCAGAGGGGCTCGGGAGAGCGGGGCCGGAGGCACCTATGCACAGCCAGGGCGCCGTCCTCCAGGCTCTAGCAGCCCCGTGAGTGAAGGGACACTGCGCTGACCCACGCATTCCGAGCTCAGGAGGAGCGTGTCCCGACGCGCGCCCCCTACTCCCGCCGCGCAGGCGCGGGGACGCCCCCCGTGCGCGTCACTCAAAAAGGCGCGCTGCGGTGGCCCCTCCCCGCTTTTACCCTCTGGGCTGTCTGTGCGGGTCTCAGGTTGGACCGTACCAAGTGGTGACGGCCCGGGGATCGCTGGTGGGGAGCGGGAAAGAAAGTTTACAGCCCGGAGGGTAAAATGACGTTGACCCCGCTAATCTCATCACCCCCGTGTCAAGAGATGGGATGTAACGGAGAGGCTCCCGAGCCGTAGCGGGCGGAGGGCCACCTCCTGACGCGCGGCGCGTGGCTCTGCCCCTGTGGTCGCTCACGTTGGTGGCTCTCAACGGGGCGGTACGAGGTTAGGGGTTGGCGGGGGCAGCTACCACGCTCGCTTAGGGTAGCCACGCGCCGCCGCAGTAGCAAGGGTCTAGCGGCGGGGTAGGAAGCTGCTGTCGCTGGCGCTAGCTTCTGGGGTGTGAGGGCCGATCGTGCAACTGGTTGGTGCAGAGGCCCCCGCCGCGGCCTCAGGTCCCTGCACGTGCTTCCGGTAGCAACATGGAGCTGGAGGAGTTGGGGATCCGGGAGGAATGTGGCGTGTTCGGGTGCATTGCCTCGGGAGTGTGGCCCACGCAGCTCGATGTGCCGCATGTGATCACTCTGGGACTCGTGGGGCTGCAGCATCGGTGAGCAGCGGGTGCGGGGTGCGGGTTGGGGGTGGCGGCGCGGATGCTTCTCCAGCTGGACCAGCGGTTTCCCGCGACGGAGTTGGATCTGGTGCGCACTTGAAGGCGGTGAGGCCGGATGTTTCTACTAGGTGCGCCGTAATCTGCCTGTGGTAGCAGCCAGGCGACCGACCCGGGCGTGCGCGGGACTACGGGGCCTCCTGGGATTTAGCTTGTTGCCCCCCAAACCCCCCGACACGTTGTGCAGTAGGGCATCTCCCCCTCCTCCGGTCTGTGCACTCCGGAGTCTCCAGTTCATAAGGTTGGGATTCTCTTGGCTAGCGGATGGCGAAGCTCCTCCTCCCTGATTGTTTGCTGAGTTTAATTTACAAAGCCAAGAACTACTCTTGAGTTAAACTGATGTGGGGTGGCTGCTGGTCCAAGACCTGTAGTAGTATTTTGAGGTTTCCTGCGGAGCCTCCAACACCACAAACTCTTATTTCCAAGAGCTTTTGAGCAGATTGTAGATTCGAAGGATCGCCGTCATTAAGGGAACTTTGGGGGGCCTTGAGTACAAACCCAGGAAATAGGCTACCTGGTGTTCCAGAGGAACTACTAGTTGTGTTACAGGGCAGTGAGAGGGGGCACCACTGAACCCCCAAACCTGCCTGCTCTAAAGGTACCACCCTGTTACAGTTGTAGATGTCACATAAACTGACTGAAAGTAAACAGTCATGGGGTATAACGCATCCGCAAAAGATTCCTTAGTAGACGTATTAGATGGTTGGTAATAAGACTGCCAAAAATTAACTCCTTTCTTTAAAAGGGGGCGAGCAGCGGGGTGAGGGTGGCGGCGCAGGTGCTTCTCTAGCTGGACCAGCGGTTTCCCGCTACCAGAGATGGGTGGATCTGGTGCTCTCTTGAAGGCGATGAGGCCGGATGTTTTTACTAGGTGCGCCCTTATCCGCCGGGCGACCGGCCCCGGGCGTGCACGGGCCTCCTGGGATTTAGCTTGTTGCCCCCCAAACCCCCCGACACGTTGTGCAGTAGGGCATCTCCCCCTCCTCCGGTCTGTGCACTCCGGAGTCTCCAGTTCATAAGATTGGGATTCACTTGGCTAGCGGATGGCGAAGCTCCTCCTCTCTGATTGTTTGCTGAGTTTAATTTCCAAAGCCAAGAACTTCTCTTGAGTTAAGCTGTGGGGTGGCTGCTGGTCCAGGACCTGTACTATTTGGAGGTTTCCTGCGGAGCCTCCAACACCACAAACTTATTTTCAAGGGCTTTTGAGCAGATTGTAGATTTGAAGGATCGCTGTCATTAAGGGGGTTTTGGGGGTCCTTGAGTACAAACCCAGGAAAAGAGGCTACCTGGTGTTCCAGAGGAACTACTAGTTGTAGATGTCATAGAAACTGACTGAAATTAAAACAGTCATGGGGAATAACGCATCTGCAAAAGATTCCTTGGTAGACGTATTAGATACTTAACGAAAAGGTTGGTAATAAGACTGCCAAAAATTAACTCCTTTCTTTAAAAGGGAGCAAGAGACTGTTCCAGTAGTGACAAGACACATTGATTTTGAAAAACTGAAAAAAAAAAACTGCTTCTATAATCTCTCCTTACTACTTTTTAAAAGATCTTTTTAAAAAATAGGTTCATAGCTTTAGATACGTAATCTGAGGAAAAACTAATATTCATATGGTAGTCCAAAGCAACACAAGTTTATAAGTAATATTGAAGCTACTCTGGGTTCTGTTCTAAGGAGAGGTAGGGAGAAACTACCAACTGTTTGGAAGTGATAAGAACAATATCATTTGGTTAAAAACTATAAACCCAGGTTTGACATTATCACTGAAAGCATTATAAAGGTCCATCAGGCAATGCAGAGCAACAACTTCTAAAACGGGTGTTATTGTAAAGTTCCTCATCAGCAATGTGAATGCCAACAAATCACTTTACTTTTAGGGGATTATCATTTCCTTGGGTTAAGAATTGAATCCTACAACTGACAGCATTTTAAATGCTCAGGCACTCCTGCTGATGAACTTTCCCTCATCAAACATTACTCTTTGAGGGTTCCAAAATACCTCAGGGAGAGTTTCTCATCTTGTGTACTTCTTATTTGCTGAGAGTAACTTAGAATCTGGGATGAATCAAAAAGAATATTTTAAACTTGAATAACTAATTTTGGCTCAATTAACCACAATTGAGATATTTTAAAAATAAAGGTTCATAGATTAAAAACTAAGATTTATATGGTAGTCCAAAGAAACATGAGTTTATAAAAATAGCCAAGTTATATTGAATTCTGTTATAAGGAAAGATGTGTGGAAACTTAGTCTAGAGTTAACCTGGTGGTCTGTGGGAAATACAGAAATAGACTTTTATTTTTAATTTTTAATTTTATTTACTTGTTAGCTAAAATAACGGAATATTCACTCCCAATCTGTTTTAAAAGGTATGTGAAGGAAAAGGGGCTGATTTTCTTTCTTTTTAAAAATGCAACTAGACTCTTAATGCACATTTCTACATTTGCTTTTCTGTTAAAGAACTAGGAGACTAGATAATGCAAGATAAGGGCAATAAAGGTAGGTTTATATAATATTAGCAATACTAAGTGGATCCTGTTAAACTGCCCATCTGGCCAAACTTGCCTTTTTTAAAACTTTGATGTTTGAACTTGATGTTGCAGTGTTTCACCAACAGTGGCAAGAAACTAAGTAGCTTCTGAGGAGTATATATGTTAATGGAAAACTATTTGTTTGAACTTTTCATTGTGTAGGCATAGAATTACTTGAGACAGTTGGTTCTTGTCTCTGTCTTAACCTAGTTCACAATTTCATTTAACAAAAGTTCTCACACTTCAAGGGAACTGATTTTCATTGACAGGACAATGAAGCACCTTTATGTCCAGAAAATACAATCGCTGATCCTCTAAACTGATAGATAGGGATCAAAGAATAAGAACAAAAAAAAATTTTTTTATAGGCGACAATGAAGCACCTTTATGTCTAGAAGATACAATCGCTGGTCTTCTAAACTGATAGATAGGGATCAAAGAATAAGAACAAAAAAATTTTTTTATAGGCATTGAACCAAGGAATAGCAAAGCTAGGAGCCTAAATAGGTTGTCACAGCTTAAATACAGTGGTTATATACACAGTACAATGGCAAATAGTGGTCTGTTGCAGAGTCTCTACCTCCTATAAATTCCTAGTTTTAGGGATTTACACATTGTCCTAAAATATTTCATCACTTAGGCAATCTAGATCTTTTTTGTCTTAGGCATAATCTGACCTAGAAATTTTAGTCTCTAGGATAATAATGTCTCAAATTTATAATATGTATTTCACATAAAAACAAATGGAGTGTCAATTACTGGACTGTCAAGTTCTGGATACTAAATCTCAGTGGCTTCATCTAGAAGTACTTGTGGTTGTTCTGGCTGTTTACAAATATATTCCATTGCTCTGCTTGTTCATCAGGAATTTCAGTTTAACATTTTCATTGTTTCATAGTGTGAGCTATATTCATGTATGTTCATGCCATATTCATACAGTCATGCTTTTCTTAGTCCTGAAAACATCTGTTCAGTCATCTGCAGAGTTCTAAACAAACCACATACACAACTCCTTTTGATCAAAAATCTTCGTCCTCAAACTAAAGTCACATTTTATGAAGACTAGATAGTTTGGACATGTTTGAAGATGCCATAAAAGGAATTGTTGGGTTCATAGATTTTTCCCATGGGTTAACTAGTTGGCTTTTTTGGGGTAGTTGGCTTTTTTGGGTCGGTTAGGAGATGAAAATGCCCTTCCCTTCAGAAATTCTCTACATTAGGAATTGAACTCTACAAGTGATAAACAATTTTCACACTTCTCTAAAAAGTTATGAGATTTACCTGATGAAGTTCAGTCATGCAAGGAATCTCCTGTTTGCAGAAACCTTCTGTAGACTCCTTTGATTTTGATATACTTTGAGGACTCCAGTTTTCCCTGATCTCAGGAGTAGTTTTCTTAAGAGATACAGACACTGGTTCTACAAACAGAATATACAGCATTATCATTTGAAAGGCCTCTGTGAGTAGCAGACACTCAAAAACCTCTCTGGAATTAGTTGCTAGTTATCTACCTTTAGTTAGTTGGAGAACACAGGAGTAGGTTGTCAGAGTATTTGCTTTGCCTTGCCAAATTAAAACTCAGGATAACTTGGGTCCTCCCCAATGGCACAGCAGGTTAAAGAACAGCACTAAAAAGCTAAAGCCACTTCAGCATGAGTTGGATTCCTGCCTGGGAGGTGACCCACATGGCGTATTAGACCTCTCCTGACCCGCCTGCTGCTCCCCTCAGCAGTGTACTTCATCAATCAGCCTGTTCCCTACTCTGTCTCTGGTGAACCCTCTCACCACCCCTGCACCTCTGGCCTGTACCCCAGTTCCATATGCATAAATAAATAAATCTTTTTTTTTTTTTTAATTTTTTATTTGTGCATACAGAACTGGGGTGCAGGCCAGAGGCTCAGGGGCGGTGAGAGGCTTGTGGGGAACAGAACAGGCAGATCGACGAAGTACACTGCTGAGGGGAGCAGCGGGCGGGTCAGGAGAGGTCTGCCACGCCATGTGGTCACCTCCGGGGCAGGCGGGAATCGAACTCATGCAGAAGCGGCTTCAGATTCTCAGTGCTGTGCTTTAACCCGCTGCGCCATCAGGGAGGGCCCAAAATAAATCTTTTAAAAAAAAACTCAGGATAATTTTATTCTGATTTTCATTTCCTAGTTTTCGTGACCAATGTGTCATATTCCTTTAGTGTTTTACAGCTCATTTGTTGAGGAAGTGAGTTCTTTTACAGTGGTCCATGTTATTTGTTCCAGTCTTTGAAAGACTTTTAATTAAGTTACTTTTGTAATTTAATGGTTCTGTTTTAAATTGTAAGTGTTTTTGATAATTCCAGTTAGAATTATTTAAAACTTTTCATTTTGCATCAATCTGAAGCAGAGTTTATCTGCAAGAGTCTCATATTACTAAT